AACCGTTCTAAATACTTAAGCTGTTGAAAAAAAAAACATATTCTAAACTTCATATAATGTGTATTTTAAGCTTCGTAAATACATATTCTTAATTTCATAGAACATATCGACAATGCAGAATATATTTTTTAAAGCACCTAAAAACATATAAAGAAAAGTAAAGTACAAATTTTAAAATACATCTTTATCTATTATATAAAGAGTGAGCGAAGTCTCACAAGTGTGACACCTAAGCATCTCTTTTTCTACCACATCAGCTTTCAAAAATTTATTTTTAAAAAAGATAAAAAAATATACAATCAAAGATGAATTTAATAATATAATCTATTATATAAAGACTCAGTTGAGTCTCACAAGTTTGACACATAAGCACTTCTTTTTTTGATACATCAGCTTTTGAAAAAATTAATTTTCTCAATCCAAAAAAAATATAATTCATTAGCCATGACACAAGTACAAATGTAGTTTTCATCTCGAAAAGTCACTCTCTTACAATAAAAATGAAATGCATTAAACTTGTAGTGTTACCACTTCGTAAAGGACACCCGAAAAAATTGAACGACGCTAAAATAAATTCGAAGAATCAAGAGCCATAATCATATATTATTATAAAATTGAGCGGCATTCCACCTATTTTTCATCTTTCTCTTACACGCTCAAAGAGCTCCAGAAATCAGATATAGCGCAACTGCAGTAACGTTCATAATCAACATTGTAAAAGAATTAAGGTCTTGAAATAACATATCCAAAATGCAGATTTCTTGTGTTACTTTTGTTTTAGTGATTGTGGCTTTTGGTGTTTCAGATCAGAAAGGTGATCAAATTCATAGATATAATCACTTTACGTGTCTACGAGGAAGCAATGATAACCAATCCTTCCCTCATAGAAAGAGAGCTAGGAACAAGCTGTATGTAGTGTAATTATACTATATATATCAATATTCCTGTTTTATGTATATATACATTAGAAAAACTTTATGAGCCATTAAAATAATTATTTCTTGTTTCCATATTAATTTAGAGTTTTATACGACGTTTTTTGTTGTTCGCAAAACATTGAAAAAACCATAAATAGTTTTTGTTTATTGCATTCATGAAAATTTATGATATCTTTGTATGCGTAATGCTCTGGTGCCTAACAATATTAGGTTTAGAGCAGATGATATAACAAAAGAAGTTAAAGTTTTAGAGGCATTTTGTTTTCTGTTCAATTTCTGTTTATAGTTTTCGTACATCTTTTGTAGATACATAAGACTAACATATAGTGAATGCTTCACTCAATCTAAAATTAGCTATAAAAATTTTTTACGTAGTGCCTTATTTTTCTGTCACATAGACAAAATTCTTTATGTATCAGGAGAATATAATGCCCAAACTTTATCATATTTACTCTATTGACGCTCGAACTTTATATCTTTTAACAGAAAAATGAATATTTAGAAAGAAATTATTGCTTTTAATATTTATTACCCTACGCAGAACTCAAAGGATTTGAGATGAGATTTAAAGCTAAGCTGAAACAAACAAATGCAATATTTGGTATTTTATTGTGTATCGATGAATGTATGTATTTGTTAACTTTATTTCATTAATAAAAAACAGAAAGTATGTAATAAACAGACAAATATATGTCTAATAATAATTTAAAGAGATAACAATAGAAAGTGATTTACGATTATGTAATTCTATCGTGATTTTGAAAATTTAAATTTGCACATATATATATATATATATATATTATTGATAAACTAAACTATTATATATATAAAAATTACCGCGTGTACACGCGGGGTTTTATCTAGTATTATATAAAGAGTGAGTGAAGTCTCACAAGTGTGACACCTAAGCATCTCTTTTTCTACCATATCAGCTTTCAAAAATTTATTTTTAAAAAAGATAAAAAAAATATACAATCAAAGATGAATTTAATAATATACTTTTAAAAGTCTTTAGAATGTAAATTTTCCCTTCTTCATTTATTGTTCGTTCTTCACAAAAAAAATTTTCAAACCATTTGTTCGCTCTTCACATTTCATAATATATCATCAATATTCTTTTATCCCTTCTTCATTCATGTTGTCATCTTGATGTGCTCACTGGTAAAATTGGTTTCCTAACTTTGGCCGTTAATGGATTCACTATCCGATTACATTTTGTTTCACAAAAAAAAACTGTAAGAACCTCTTCTAAAACTTACAAAATTTTGGTTTGAGTCCAGAATTTATAGTTTTACAATAAAATATCTAATATCAAGTTGAAAATACCAATAAAACAAGCTAATTATTGAAACTAAATTAAAAATATATATATAAAAAAACCCACGCATATGCGTGGGTATTCTCCTAGTACTAATAAAAGTTGAAACTATATGCTTCTAAGGGTGTCCACATAGGATTTAAGAAATCAATTTAATTGGTCCATATCAACATTCAAAAATAAGGAAAATTTACAAATTGTAATATTATTGCGGAAAAAAGGAAATTAAGAAGGTGTCCATATATAATTAAAAAAATCAATTTTATTGGTCCACATCAACATTCAAAATTAAAGAAAATTTACAAATTGTAATATTATTGCTGAAAAAGGAAATTAAGAAAGTTTATTAGTCCAATAAATTTTTTTTTATTGGTCCACCTCAACATTGAAAATTGAAAAATGTTTGTATAAATTTTTTATTGGTCCGCCTCAACATTGAAAATTGAAAAATTTCCAAATTCTATTATTTTTTTAAAATTATTAAAAGTAAAGAAATTGTATATAAAATTGATATTAATAATAAAAACCTAAAATAATTAATATTAAAATAGAAAATTTTTTAATTTAAATTAGATATATACACACATATTTAGAGACTCTTACATTAACATCCAATATTTTTGTCACATAATTATAATAATTTTAAGTATTTTTTTCATGTGTGTGCAACCATATAAAATAAACAAAAACAAAAGATAGAGTAAGGTTCACTAAAAAATGATTTCTAAATTTATTACTAATAAAAGTTAAAGCTATATGCCTCTAAGAATGTCCATATATGATTTAAAAATTCAATTCTATTGGTCCATATCAATATTTAAAATAAAGAAATTTTTAAATTATATTGTTAACAAACAAATATAAAAGTTGAAGTTATATACCTCTAAGCACATCCATATAAGATTTAAAATGTCAATTTTATTATTCCACATCAATAACTAAAATTATTTTTTTTTAAATTATAAAATTACATTGTTATTACAAAATAATATAGGAAAAATTGTTAATTAAAACTATTCTAATATTAATGATAGTTAAAGTTATATTATTTTCAAGGCATCCACATCAGCATTTAAAAATTCATTTTTATTTGTATATATCAAAATTATAAATTAAAAAAAGTTTCATAATTCTAATATTATAATTAAAAAATATATAAAAAATAAAGAAATCTCTATTAACAAAAAAAAGCAAATTTCCATTATCACTGTTTAAATCACAAATTTAATTTATTATCTATAAAAAAATATATGATACTTATACAAGTTTAAGTTACTTGATTTTAAAGTTTTTCATGTAGAATGTTAAATAAATAATATTTATGATTTATATCCATCTAATTTTTTTTTTCACATATGCAAAACATATCATCGAAATATGTAATATATTATGCGAAAATATGTAATATTTTTTCTCATGTAATATATCATGCAAAAATGATCAAAAAATTTACATTATATATATATATATTCAATTTGGAATTCAATAGATTAATGTAGAAGTTCTTAGTTTTGAGTTGTTCAATTTGTTATTTCATTTTTATAAATTTGTATGTACTAATTTGTACTGGTTTTCTCTACTGAATTACAATTAGAAGTGGAAATGAATATGATGTAACTGAATATAATCATACAAAAATTATTAAAATAAATAAATACAATAAATTCATTGAAAAATAGATATAACAAGAATAAAAATGAATAAGATGAAAAAACAATTTCATTCTTATTAGAAGAGATGATGTATACTCATTGAAAAATTATTTAAAATTTTACAATTCCAATTGACAAAAATATAATTATTCAAAAATTTTGTGTGATTTTATTCATTTCATATTCAACTATTGTTTTGGTTTCAAATTTAAAGTTGTTATTAAAGAAGTGAATGTATAATATTTTATTATCATGTTAATATTATATTTAAAAAGTAATATTTGATTAATTTGTAAAAATTTTAGTTGGTTTTGGTATATTACCTTATAAGTGTTTGACCAAATAATACATTTTTGAAATATGATATATTGTATATAGATTCAAAACAAAATATATAAAACATCATAATTTACATAAAAATTATTAGATCAACACTATAATATTTTAATATATTATTAAAACACTAATATATATAATTATATCTTAATAAATATAATTAATTGCATATAATTTTTATCAACAAAATATCCACACGCTAACGTGGACGCAAAAACTAGTAGACTATATAAAAAAGCAGAAGACTTATTCTAAATTTCTTAAATCTTACAAAAAAAAGTTCATAATCGGTTTTTCTAAAAACTTGACATGAAAAATTTCATTAACATTTATTTATCTTCATATATATTTATTGCTTTACTTTTTTGAAATATAATTGATATTACATTTTGTATCAAAATAACTTAAATATCAAAATTTCGTTTTAATCTCTCTTGAGTCAAATGGGTTTCCACTAGGAGACCGTCATTAGTGAATTTATATATTTTTTTGGTATGTGAGATTTTTCTATCCCACTTCCATACATAATTCAATAATTGGTTAGGCAGTTTCTGTTTTATTCACATGTTAGGTTATTTGTATGACATTAAATTTTGTAGTAGTTCGACAATATAGGGCAACTGAATCTCATAAATTGTCATGTGAACGCATTCATTGCTCTCTTACTTTTTGCTAACTTATAAAAAACGTACAATAACTAAAAAGAATTATTACATAACTATAGATTTCCTGTAAGAGAATTACCGAAAAAGCTCAAAAAGAAGAAAATAATTAGATTCGCAATCAGAAGCCACACACACTTCACCACCGTCACTAAAGCAAATACACAGATCTAAAAAAAACCCTCCCAATTAATCGCAAAACCCGAAATTGCCCTTGCACCAACCTCAGATTTACGATAATGCCACTTTTCTCCCACCGCTTCACCACCGCATCTTCCTCCTCCTCCACCGCCTCTGCAACTCCTTCCTACTACAGTAAACCCTCGAAGAGCCATAAACCCAACTCTTCTATTTCTGCTTCGTCCCGTGTTCATGTCTCCATTATCTTCTTCTCCCTCGTCTCTGTTTTCATAGGAGTCGCCGGAACTATCTTCGCAATCTCTTCCGCCGGAGGTCCTTCTTCTGTTTATCGATGCGGCGGATCTAAAGACACTTCGCGAGTGTCTGCTTCTAGAAAACTGGGTAGAGACGGTGGTAACGGCGGCGTATTGCCCGGAAGACAAAAGCTTTTAGGTTTCGTCGGGATCCAGACTAGTTTCGATTCCGGTGATCGTCGAGCCGCTTTGAGAAGTACTTGGTTTCCCTCTGACCCTGATGCTCTTCTAAGGTATAACGAAAACTTTGAAATTCTGATTTACAATCTGAAATGCTGGTTATTTCCATCAGTGAGATTCAATCGGTTTCTATAGTTCAGTGTTTGCAATTGTTGGGGAAACTCTTCTGTATCCCAATCTTGTTCTTAGTTGAGTATGATGAAGTGTTACCTCTTGAATCTTAAAGGACCTTATTTTTAGATAAGATTTGAAAATATGGCATGATTGGGTTTTTTCCACCTTCAAAATGTCATAACCTTTTGATGTCAATACGGTACTTAAGCGATCTTAAGTGTTTGATTCATCGGTATCTTGTGTCGAGCATAGGACTTGAGCGGCTTCAGTTTGTGCGGAGAATGCAGCCAGTTACTTGGAAAAGTGTTTGTTCAACCCACAAGCCAATGCAGATTTACTGACATTACTTCCCTTGGCTCTGTTTGCATTCTGCTGATTTCGGAATTGAGTCTGATGTTGTGTTGTGTGTTGACCTGAACTCAGGTTGGAACAAGCGACTGGATTAGCTTTTAGATTTGTCATTGGACGGTCAAAAGATGCTGAGAAGATGGCTGAACTAGAGAAGGAGATAAAAAAATACAGAGATTTTTTGCTTCTTGATGTTGAGGAAGAATATCTACGACTTCCATATAAAACGTACAAAAAATGTTTATTTTGGTCGCTGATCTCTGTTTTTCTGTTTCTTTCATTGTCATCGATGACCGATTCCTGTCTCCTCTTTATAGGTTGGCTTTCTTCAAAGCTGCGTATAAACTCTTTGAAGCTGATTATTATGTCAAAGCCGACGATGACATATATTTGAGACCAGGTATTTTACAGTATTTGAGGCTTTTTTCCTCTGCATCACAATAGTATTCCAATTCCTCTTTATTTGTTGTTGTTCAGATCGGCTTGGGACGCTTCTTGCCAAAGAAAGACTTCATTCGCAGACATACATTGGCTGCATGAAGAAAGGACCAGTTATAACTGACCCTAAACTAAAATGGTACTAAATTGCCTTCTCTTCACCCGTGGCTGTGATTCTGTGCGGAAGCTATCGGTTTTGTTGACAGATATTTAATTTTTCAGGTACGAGAAACAGGGCAATTTGATTGGAAATGAATATTTCTTACATGCTTATGGGCCGATATATGTTCTTTCAGCCGAGATAGTGGCTTCACTTGCAGCAGCTAGGAATGGCAGGTTTGAAATGGTTTTTAATGTACCTCACTTGCAGATTCTGATAGACAACTTTCATTTACTATCGGTCTTTTCCTTCCAGCCTGAGGATGTTTAACAATGAAGATGTTAGCATCGGATCTTGGATGCTTGCAATGGATGTACATCATGAAGACAACCGTGCTTTATGTGATCCTCGTTGTTCCCCAAAGTCCATAGCAGTCTGGGACATTCCCAAATGCTCAGGTAACCTAAATATGGTTTCACGTAATAGCAGTAACAAGAACAAAAGATATCCAACCTTTTCTTCTCAAATCTTTAGGGCTTTGTAACCCGGAGATTCGGTTAAAGGAGCTTCATAAGATGGAAATGTGCTCCAAGAGTCCGACATTGCCTTCCGATGACGTCGATCAGTAGTTTGTTTCAAGAATTTGCCTTGAGACAGTTCTACAGAATATATGATCTCACAAACACTGGAGTTCCAACATCCTTGGAGCTATATAGGGAAAAGATGACTTCATAGTTCTTACATGATCTGATCTTTATAGTTGTTTTTAGATGTACCACATAAATACTCAAGTTTTATATATAGACCGATACCTGAGATCCCTTTTTGTAAAATTAGGTTTATGAGCCCAGTTTAGACACTGGGTGATGATGATACAGATGATACGTAAAAATCTTGTTTGATTTGTAAAAGATATCTCATTCAATATATTATTTGATTTATTTTACATCATGTTAGTGTTCAAAAGGTTATTACCTCAGGGTAGATAAATCATACCCAACACTTGAATATTGAAATATGAAAATCTATCTATATATTTATTTGTGTAGTGATTTGTTTACGTGTCACACTCACAGCGAGTTTTAAGTTGACACAGCGAGTTTTAAGTTTTTTGCTTTCGTGTGAGTTTCAGAATGAGTTTCAGCTGTAAAAAGACCGTTTAGTCATATTTTGTAATTACGTGTCAATTTTTGATTGGTTCTTATCTGCTGATGTGTAAAAAATAACTTAAAACAAACCGTTTTAAATTATTATGGTCTAATGTTTAATTTCATAGTCAATCAAACCGTTTCTAAAATTATATAAAATTGAAATTTAGAAAAAAAATTAATAAAACAGTTTTTTAAAAAAATAACATAACGTTTTTAAAATAAAAAAACAAATATGGAAACTATATCTCTTAATGATTACTATTTTTTATGTTATCGAAATTTTAAAAAAATCTAACAAAAATGTTAAAAAACAAAAAAATTAATGATTACCATTTTTATGTTACCAAAATTTTAAAGAAAAAAATAACAAAAATGTTACAAGAAACAAAAACTGAAATCTATTTAAAAAATAATGGAATGTCCAATCAAACCGTTTTTAAAACTATAAAATCGAAATTTAGAAACAAATAACAGAAAAAGAAAAAAATAATAAATATTGTCTAATGAAATGTTGTTAATTATGATATTTACATTATGATTGATATTGTTAATTATGATATTTACATTATGATTTTAGATTTCTTATCTATATACGACTTCAAACCTCTTTACCATTTTACTAAAATCAAAAGTTTATTTGTAAATTTTGGATTCATCTAATTTAGAACAGAGATGAAAAAAAATTAATACTCTTAAAATCATTTATTTAAAAAATTATATTTGATAGATGGCGTGGACAAATTAAATATTAGTTGATGAAATGAGAATTTATTGCAATATGTTGTAAATTTTAGAGAACACACAGGTTTTTTATAAAGTTTTCGGATTCACGTTCAAATGTGTTGATATGGCCGAGATGGTCTAAGGCGCAGGATTAAGGTTCCTGTCCGAAAGGGCGTGGGTTCAAATCCCACTGTCAACATTTATTGTAAATTTAGCTGCATATCGATTTCCATATTGGTAATTTTATTATTTACTAGGTGACTCGTTCCTTCTATGTGGGTAATGAATGGGTATGAATAATTTAATATTACTTTTAAATTCTCTTAATTGAGTAACGTGATATTTTAATTAGTTTTAAATTTTGTTGTGTAAAAATATAAGAGCAAAATATGAGTTTTCACCACGACACCACCTATGCGATCTACCACCACCATCACAGAGATCTGTGATCATATCTTATTTGTTGCATTGATTCTCTCTATCTTGAACTTTAGCAACCTTTTACCTCTTCGAGGCTGTGATACTATTTAACTTTATTATTTTCAATTTGCTTGAGGAACAAAATTGAAAATACAATAATGGAAATACAAAAGAGAGTATGAAGCATTGATTGCTAGTCTAAAATTGGCGCTCGGAATCGAGGTCGAAAGATAAGAGCTTTCTGCGACTCTCAGCTTATGGCGAACAGTTCAACGGAGAGTATAAAGCCAAGGACAGAAGAATGGAAGCTTATTTCAAGCTCATCCAGAACCTGGTAAAACAATTCGATGAATTCAAACTAACTCGGATTCCCAAGGTGAAAATGCTTTGGCAGACGCTTTAGCAGCTTTCGCCTCGACATCACATCCTGATCTGAGAAGGACGATCCCTGTCAAATTTATCGAACGATCAAGCATCGAAGTAATAGAAGGAGTTCAACTAATCGATCCCCCAAAAGAAGGGCCCGAGCCCGAGAACAACGACAAAGCAACAACAATGGAAGAGAACACCTCGTCAGCAGAACCGGAATATGGTACGACAAAGAATGGCTCAGAGCAATTCGCGTTTACATTGCCAACGGTGAGATCCCATCCATTAAATGGGAAGCTTGTAAGCTAAAGGTCCAGGCCGCGGGATACATTCTCATCCGAGTCGAAGTCTTCAAGTGGAGGTTCTCGATACCAGTGATGACGTGCGTAGAAGGAGCCAAGGCGAGGAAAATAATGCATGGAGTGCATAGCGTCGCATGCGGAAATCACTTCAGCAGGTCTCTAGCAATCAAGATAAAACGACATGGCTACTACTGGCCAACATAAGTAAAAGATTGCGAGAGGTTCACCATGAAGTGCGAAAAGTGCCAACGATACCAGCCGACCATACACCAACGAACTGAGCTGTTATAATCAATCTCATCGCCTTACCTCTTCATGAGATGGTCGATGGATATCATCGGGCTCCTTCACAGATTGAAGCATAAGCCATTCCTACTGGTGCTTATTGATTACTTCTCAAAGTGGGTTGAAGCAGATTCTTATGCAAGCATAAAAGACGCCCAGGTCGAACACTTCGTCTGGAAAAACATCATCTGCCGGCATGAGATTCCCTATGAGATAGTTACTGACAGCGGATCACAATTCATCTTTACCCGTTTTGAAGCTTTCTGCAAAAAATAGAAAATTCGCTTAAATATGTCAACACCGAGATACCCTTAAGGAAACGGGCAGGCTGAGACGGCCAACAAGACAATCTTAGACGGGTTGAAGAAATGGCTGGAAGCTAAGAAGGGACGATGGGCAGACAAGCTAGAACGGGTCCTCTGATCATACCGAATGACTCCACGCCGAGCCACCGGAGAAACGCCGTTCGTCCTCGTTTATGGAACTGAATATGTAATTCCTCTCGAAGTGGACTTACCCGGAATACGACAAAAACTTTTATCCGGACGGAAAAGCTTGAACCACTTGATGATGCTGGACGAGCTCAACTTAATCAACGAGAAGCACGACCAAGCCTTAGTTCAGTCTCAGAATTATCAGCAAAAAAGGGTAAGATATTATAACAAGAACGTCCGAAGCCGAAGATTCCAAGAAGGAGAGCTGGTTCTCATAATAGTATTCTAAAACACTGCCGAAAGAAACGCAGGAAAGCTCGGAGCAAATTGGGAAATACCTTACAAAATCACTAAGGTGGTTTGCCCAGGGGTCTACAAACTCACAACAATAGCGAACGAAGAAATCCCGAGATCGTGAAACACCATGCACCTGAAGAAGTACTATCACTGAAGGCACGCCGTGACAACCATAAACTACAGACAGCTTGATCCCTGTAAAAGGTACGTAGGCAGCACATCCTCGTATGGGTTCAGCTGTCCCCCTTCCTAAAATGGGGGGGGGAGTGGGTACGTATACATATACTTACATCTTTTCGATAGATTTTGGCTCATTTACTTAAGCCATTACTAGCTCATCTTTTACGTAGATTTTCGACCAAAATTTTAATATCATCTTGCTTCGGCAAACGTTTCACATATCCATTATTTTTGCTTCAAAAAGAATACTCTACTACTTCGCTTCGGCGAAATCTTTCTCACTCTGAACAAAAGCTTTGCTTCGGCAAAAAGATACTTATCTTACTCTTCGACGAGACAACATTTAGAAACTTTACATTTCGTCTCATTTCTGGCCACAACAAGACAATATAAACAAAATTCTCTATAGGATTTTACAACATTTCCTAGGACATGGGTGCAACAGACATCCTCTACGGATAAAAATAAAGTGTGCTATAAAAATTCTAGAAAAAAACGCATTGGTCGCATTAATTCACTATAGTACACGAGAACATAAGTCAAGACTACATCCCATTCCCTAAAAGCCGAAGAGAATTCTAAAAAAACTACCTAAACATTTTATTAAGGAAACGCCGGTCCTTAATCATATTTCAAAGAGAACTATTCAACCTTATCACTCTAAAGTTCATCTCAATTTTTGGCTCGTCGACAAAGAACTCTGCTTTAACACCTCGTCACGATAAAAACTTTATCTCTTAAAGCTTAAACACTTCGGAACATACAATTGATTTCACTAGTTGCAACTCAGAGAAGACCCATTTGATCCTCAACTTGTCGTCAAAGAATTCTGATCCAAAAAAAATCATCATTATAAGGCTCTATCTTACAAAAATGCTTCGGTACCAATACGAAGACTTCTAAGAAATAGCTAAGGCAAAATCAACGAAATCATTATTCAAAAAGAATGGTTGGATAAAGCCATCTAGGCACAAGGTCCAAAGGATAATAAAAACAAACAAAACAAACATGAAACGTGAAACCAGTAAGCCTCGAGAACTTTGCCGTTTCTTCACGGTTTTGCAACACTTAAGCACGAGCTGCTTCGTAACGGCTCGAATCGATGGCTAAATTTGTAACAGACCTCGCCATCTTTGTCTTCAAAGTTAACAAGTTGGGGGGCTAACAGCTGCGGTCGGTTTCCATCCCAACAAGTTTACCCACCTCTGAAAAAAACTAAGTGTTTGAGATATTGTGTCAAGCTATGATCCAAGCTACGCCCCTTTTCCTTAATGGGCCAAGCCCCGTTGAGGTGCAAGTTGGGTCGACCCGCGGAGAGAGAGAAAGTGGGCCAAGCCCTGTTGATGTGTAAGTTGGGCCGAGTTGCGAGAAAGAGCAAGTGGGCCAAGCTGAAAAAGGGAAATGAAGGGCGAGCCGCGTTGCAAGATGTTTGGGCCGAGCCGAATGATGTTCAACATTTAGCAGGCCTAGCCGCGGAGGAAAAAGCCCATGAAAAACCCCAAGCGAGATGTTAAGGCAGCAGCCGCCCGAGGGTGATAAGGCTAGGCGGTTCCTAAACTCTGTATAAATAGTGGCTGTGGACAATTCATTATGTAACTTTTGCAATCCTAAGCAAAAAGACTAAACTTTTTTACATCAATAAACCATTCTTTTGATCTTGTGTTCTTGCGAGGAAACCCTAGAGATTTCAGATCCCCCTAAATTCTGTTACAAG